ATTTTTAACCTGTGTGTTTCTATTGTTATTAGTTTTAACTTCTCTGGGATTTAAGTGGACAGCCAGTGAAGATCTTTCCTGCTTTCATTATCTTCAGCTTTTCAGATCAGTCTCTAAGTACAAGCCCAAGTTACTTCCTTCTCCCAAAGGAAGACTTTCAGACAAAAATCATGTTCTCAGTCACAAAATTTTTGTTACCATAGTGACAAGAATACAGAATTTTTAAAAATGAAACTAAAAATACCCAAGGACACACAGAGATTTAGGGATTTGACCTACTTGGTGCCATACACTGAAGAAGTTAATCAATTGAATTAACTACACTTGCATTAGGTGAAACAGTCTATTGGATGAGAATATGTGTGGGTTGCATATCTAGATCTATGATCTACAATCAAAGAAGTCAGTATGAATGAAGATGACTGACAGACTTAAATGCATACAATCTGGTTCTCTGAAAAGTGGAATGTGTATATGTGTGTGTGTGTGTGTGTGTGTGTGTGTGTGTGTGTGTCAGTAGGAATGAAAAATCCATTACTTTTGCTTCTTTTCCCATAATTTTTTCTATTTCTTTAGAATATTTCTTCCATTTCGCACTGAAGTTTTGCATGCACCAGAATTGTTTTTAAATGTAGAGCCGGACATTAGACGTATAATTGAAATTATATATATATAAAAGATTCTTAGACACTATAATAAAAGCAATCTGTCTTTTAAATGAAGTTTTATTTTGAGAATCCTAGTTAGTAAGACTTTGACATTGATCAACATGCATTGTATTCATAACCTGCTTTGTTGAATGGCAACTCTGTGTATAACTACTTAAAGATAATAGTAAAAAATTAAAAACAAGAATTTTAACAGATTCAGTCATCTACAGATGTCTACTATTCTGCAAAGCATGAAGCTAGCCTATAAAAGATAAACAAAACACATTGTGCAGTCTAAGGTGTTTTGCTGTTTGGTTGTTTTCACATAGTTCTAGCAAGTAAATCCCAGAGCCTATACATGATGGACAAGCAGTCTACCATTGAGCCACATTCTATCATTCATGTAATTTTATTTTTAGAAACTAATATTTAAAGTATGTCCACATAACCAAATGAGAAAAACACCAATCTTGCAATGAAAACCTGGGATTTTTTTTCACGTTTATCAATATGCTTTAAAAGTCTATCTCTAGGAAGTGACTTAAATGGTACAGTGCTCACCTTGAGCAAAAGAAGCCCCAGGACCTGCAAAAAAGCAAAGAAGTCTATTTCTTCTTGGGAGCTAGTGGCCCACGCCTGTATTCCTGGCTACTCAGGAAGCTGAGATCTGAGGATTGTGGTTCAAAGCCAACCCAGGCAGAAAAGTCTGTCAGACTTTTATCCAATTAACCACCAGAAAACCAGAAGTGGAGCTGTGGCTCAAAGTGACAGAGCACTAGTCTTGAGCAAAAAAGCAAAGGGGGGCTGGGAAGGTAGCTCAGTGGTCGAGTGCTTGACTCAGATGCATGAGGCCCTGGGTTCGATTCCTCAATACCATATAAGCAAAAAAAGCCAGAAGTGGACCTGTGGCCCAAGTGGTAGAGTGCTAGCCTTGAGCTGAACAGCTGACAGACAGCACCCAAGCCTAGAGTTCAGGCCTCATGACCGACAAAAAAAAAAGGAAAAAAAAAAAGCTAAGGGATAATGCCCTGGGGAGTTCAAGCTCCAAAACTGATAAAGTAAATAAATAATTCATCTATAATAACTGTCAATATTTAGTCATTTCAAACATAAGAAATAACTTTCCAAATATAAGAATATGAATATTAAAGAAAAGGATATTCATAATAATAATAGCAAATATTTGTTGTATACTTATAGGACACCTATTTTACATGAATCATTTCATTTATGACTTACAACAATCCAATGACTTAGATATTATCTGCCTTTTATTGTGGAGAAAAAAAAGGGATAGGAGAGAGAAAAGCATATCCAAGGACTGTAGTTAATCAGTGGTACAGCCAGGAAATATTCCAGCAAGCTAAATGCTCTAAATTTAATCCATTATAATACACTCCAAATTAACCAGTGGAGGGAATAATCCCTATGAAGCTATTAACTTGAAAGAAGTCTTATATTTTAAAGTCTTATATTTTAGACACAGTAGTAACCTGTGTCTAAAATATTCATTATACTTGGCTGCATTTACCTGTTAAAATGCTATTATTTATGATAAAGAAAACTAAAAATAAGGAATATCTGACAGTCCTAGAGTATCCATACAAAATATTATTCTTTCATAAATATTACTGTAAAATATACTTATGCTAAGAAATGTAAGTATTTTGAAGCAAAAAATATACAGTCAAACAATATGTAGAAAATACAGATTTATTTTCCATAGTCAGTAAATTGTCACTAAGGAAAAAGTTGAGGGTGAGGCTGATTGGAATATAGTATAAACATGAAAATGGAAAAAGAAAAACAGTGCAGCAATGAAATCTTTTCCTGTGTAACTAAGATGTGGCAATAAAAAGGAAAAATATAAATAAATAATTTTGAAGTCAATCAACTATCACAACCACAGAAAATGTAGTGACTTAGGTTTCTTTATCTGTGCTAATATAGGGGTATAATGGTGGCTAACGTTCATAGATTAAGAGGTGGGTTAATCTGCACCATCAACAAAGGGAAGAAACTTCAAAACAAACCTTTGATCTGGACATTTTGATGCTACTTAACCTTCCATTCTCCCATTTCTCACAAAAGACCCTGCTGAGAGGAAGAGTTAAAGCTTATAATTCCATCAGTAGATGGGCAAATAAACTGAACATTTATGAAGTGCAAAAGTACAAATAGCCAATCAATTCATGAACACCTTTAGCCATCAGGAAAATACATATGGAAACCACACTGATATTACACCTCAGCTCTGTCAGAATGACTATCAAGAAAAAAACAAATAAAATGCTGGTGAGGATAGGGGAGAAAAGAAGTCCTATTCACTGCTGATGTGAATGTCAATTAGTGCAGCTACTGTGGATCAGCATGGAAGCTCATAACAAAATTAAGAATAGAAGTTTCAAACGACGTAGTCATTTCCAGGAATACACAAAAAAGAATTAAAGGCAGTTCACTACCATCATGGTTGTGGCTCTGTTCAGAACAGCTGTATTTTGGAATCAGCTTAGATAGCCACTGATGGATGAACAAAAATGTGGTATAGATACATCATGGAGTTTTACTCAGCCATAAAGAAAAATGAAATCATGTTGTTTCCAGGAACACAGCTAGAACTAGAAATCACCATGTTAGGAGAAACAAGTCAGTCTCATAAAGATGAGCACTGTGTGCTTTCTCCAATCTGTGGAAGTTAGAGGAAAACAAGACACAGGCTACTGGAAAGATGGCAGGGGAAAGGTGAGGTTGAGGAGAGGGGTAATAACAAACGCAAATGTGATCAGCATACGCTACGCACATTATGATGATGTAATAATGAAACCCTTTACTTTGTGCAATTGAATATACGCCAGTAAGACAGAGCCAAAATCCCACATCTGAGTACTTATCCAAGAGAAGTAGAATGAGTATGTCAAAGAAATGCCTGCACTTTCATGTTCATTGGAATACTCTTCATAGAAGTAACCAAGACAGCGGAATCAAGTTAGGAGTCTATGAAAGGATGAACAGATTTAAATGTCTACTGACAGAAGAATAGATTTAAAACTATAGTTCCTATACACAATGAAATACTCTCTTCAGCCTGAAAGAGAAGGAAATTCTGTCACCCATGACAAAAATAAATCTAGATAACATCGTGCTAAATAAAATAAACCAGCCACAGAATGACAAACACTGAATGGCATCAGTTATTAGAATATGACAACGGGAACTCAGAAGAGCTCAGTGGAGAATGTTGCCATCAAGAGCAGAGTGTTTGGTGAAATGGGAAATGTTGGTTATGGTGGTCAAATTTTACTTCCCTTGTTAATGAGTTATGGGACTATAATTACTGTACAGAGTTCTCAAAGCAAGTTTAAAGAGGAGGAAAGAAATAATAATTCTGTACTGTTTACTTGCTAAGTACACTTTAAGTGAACTCACACCATGCACAGATCTACAGAGAGGGGGGTAACTTGGTGGTAAATGATGGACTGCTTAACTTGGTGCATCTGTATATCAAATCATCACATTATGTACCTTGAATATTTCTTTATTATTCATATTTCAGTAAATCTTGGAAATGAAAGAAAAGCTGAAAAGAAGGAATTGAGGGGTGTACATTAGGGTTGCTTATTTACAGCTTTCTGCAACTCTGCCTCCTTACTCATCTTTAGGAAGAGAGAAATCGTTTCATGCAAATTATTCAGTATTCAGACAACATTATCCTTTTACTTATTTACTATCCAGAGAAGAAATTGTTTTCTAACTATAAAATCCTTCTATTCTAAAATAGCTTACAATGCTTGTACCTTTAAACTTGACTCTGTAACAAATTTGAATATGCAAAGTCCCCCAGAGGATGCTCACTGAAGATTTGGACTCCGGTTGGGTGCACTAGTTCAGAATGTGTTCTAGAAACTGCAATGTTGGACCCTAGGTAGAGGAAGCAGATCTCTAGAAGGGGAGTGGAGGGGGGAGTTGTTTGGAGGTAAGTCTTATCCTCAGGGTCTCTGTCTCTTCCTGTTCCTGTTCTCCAGGAAGTGAGCAGCCTCTGAAACAGACACATGCCACCCTAGATCCAGAAACACCAAAGCCAAGGACCTCATAGATCCTACATAAGTCAGCAAGGCCAGGACTGAAACCCCCTAAAGCGGAAGCCCAACACAATGACTCCTCTAGGTTGTTTTTTCTCAGGTGCATGTCCCACCAACAGGAAAAGCATCTAAGACTCTCAGATGGAAACAAGTTATATTATACTGAAGTATACACTTAAAGCACCAGGGACCAATGAGGAGGGAGGAGAGGGGGAGGCAGGAAGAAGAGAAGAGGAAAAGGTGAATGGTTCAATACTCGCCTTTGATGAACCGCTCCCAGTAATCATCAATTTGTTTCTGGGTTGGGAAATGGCCACACTCATTAAAGTACTTAAGTAGCTCACTCTTTTGCAATCCCTTCCAGTCTTCTCTCTTGGCAAACATGGTTTCATAGACTAAAAGTCCAGGAAGATAAAGAAAATATTTACTTTATAAGTAACACACCACATATAAGTCAGCTAAATCCAACTTCACTTTCACATCTGCAGCTACGTATCAGGATTACAGAAGCACTGTCTCCGCCTGTGGGCAAAGGGTAGATGGCCAGGCTTCTCCCGCACAGACAGCCCATTCCACCCCAGGAAAACCCAGACTGGGTTCTCCTACTACACTGGGCTCTTCCATATTGCATGGCAATTGATCACAGATCTGACATAAATCAACACTCAATCCAAAAGCTATAGATATTATACAATATATATATGGAATACATATATTATATTGTATTATAATATAATATATATAACATATACATAGTACCTATGGAATAGATATATATAATATAGGATATATACAATGGTTAAAATACATTCAATGTTCAAAAAGAAATGTACTCATTACGGGACTTGTGTAACTGCAAACCCCTCTGTCCGTCACCTTTTCTTTTTTTGGGGGGGGGAGGCGGGGGTCCGGTCATGGGGCCTGAACTCTGGGCCTGAGCGCTGTCCCTCAGCTCTTCAGCTCAAGGCTAGCGCTCTACCACTTGAGCTACAGCGCCACTTTCCGGCTTTTTTCTTTTTGCTTATGTGGTGCTGAAGAATCAAACCCAGGGCCTCAGGCATGCAAGGCAAGCCCTCTACCACTGAGCCACCTTCCTAGCCCCTGTCCATCACCTTTTCAACAAAAATAAAAATTTTAAGTTAAAAACAACCCCAAATCCTTGGTGATAGATACCACACAGCTAGAAAAAGAAGAAAAAATTAAAAACAAATAAAAATATCCTTTTGGATTGGAGGCATGGCTCAAATGGTAGAGTGTAAGTCTCTGAGCTAAAGTAATCAAGCAGTGAGTTTGAGTCTCAGTCTTGGGGGGAAAAAAGAAAAAGAAAAATATATTCAGTATACATATATTTTTTTTGTTTTTTGTATATATCCTGCATATAAGTATATATACCCTAATGCCTATTAGGATAGATATCCTTTAGATATATTTACAATGGTTAAACAACTAATTCCAATCTTAGAGTCAAATCAGAAATATAAACTCACTTACATTTCTTCCTGTCCATCCATTCCTCTAGCTCTGTCAAGTTCATGACTTGTCTCGTCTTCCAAAGGCCAAGGTGATGTCTCACACGGTAGATCAGTCTCCGATACATGTCCATAACGGATCTCAAATCCCGTCCGTGATACAAGGCCTATAGCACAGTAAAATAGACAGTAAAGCCTGTTGCCTGACTTATTCCTTTTCAGCTGTTTCTGTGGCTGTGCTTGGTGGCGGTGTGTAGTATTTCCTGCCCGCGGTGGTGACGAGGTGACATTGTGGAGTGATGGGAACTCCCTGGCGGCCCCAGCTGCCCCGTGCATTCCTCTCTCATCACATCTTACTCCCTGTAAAGGTTTGACAATGGCCCTTCCTAGGTTCACGTGCAGATGTTTCTGTTTTGTAGCATGCTCAATCAGAAAGACAAAAAGTCTATTGAAGTGTTATTGTGACTTGGTTTTGTAACAGATGATGCATACCTAAGTTATTCACTATAGTAGCTTCTGTTTCCTTTGATAATTATACAGTCATGTCTTATTTTTCACGGAGCTTTTTCAGCCACAGACAAAACATGAAATCCTTCCTAAAAATTAACTAAAGCAACCAGATGTTGGTGGCTCACACCTGTAATCCTACCTACTCAGGAGGCTGAGATATGAGAATCATGGTCTGGGCAGAAAAGTCCCTATGAGAAGATTATCTCCAATGAACCACTCAGAAGCTGAAGTGGCACTGTGGCTCAAGTGGTAGGGTGCTAGCTTTGCACAAAGAGCTCAGGGACAGGGCCCAGGCCCTGAGTTCAAGCCCTGTGACCAACAATAACAATAACAAACTAAAGCAAATAGGTTTGGAATAGAGATAAAGTGGTAGAACTCCTACATAGCAAGCACAAGACTCTGGATTGAATCTTCTTCTCACTAGAGTACTATTGAATAAATAAATGTTGTCTTCCAGGTACCTGGGGCCAAAACATTTGTGTAATAAAACTCTTGTGTCTAACTAACATCACCTACACCATAGGGTCCATAAGTACACTACACGATTTGGTTGCTGCACCTTTCTGGTGTTTGGTGTTTTTTTTTTTTTAAGATAAAAGGTGAGCCACATGCTATTGAATTTCCAAAACATTAAAGACTGACATATGGGATATTGCTATGTCAACCCTAAAACTCCCAATTTCTAATAATGCTCCAGTTCTATGTACTCAGCAAAAAATTATTCAGTGCCTTACTTCAGCCTCCAGCTGCCCAAATGTTTCAGAATTTCAGTATCTTTGTCCAACAGCAACTGTAAATTCTACTCATGTACGTATTGAAATCAATGAAACATAGACACAACCCACTGAGGAAATTGCTCTGCTGTTATGTCATTATGATTTTTTAGGACCATTGCTACTGATTCCAAGCCAACAGCAAGCACAAAACAAAAGGGCATTATGGATGTTGACAAATATGGTCATACCTAAATGATCTCCTGGTTGTGTGACACAATACTCAATACTGCTTCAGTATTTCCAAATACACTGAAGCTGGGAGCATTTAATATGAAATGGTGTTAATTGTACAGTCCCTTGAGCATTCTTTTTTTTAATTAATAAATGTTTTATTGTGAAAATACTGTACAGAGGGGTTACAATTACATGAGCAAGGTAATGAGTACATTTCTTATCAAGCATTGTTACCTCCTCCTTTGTTTCCCCTTCCCATCCCTGCCCTCCCATCTCCCCCTGCCACACCTCCCCCAGCCACCAAAGTTGTAAAGTTCATTTTTCGACATAACATCTTGTACATCTCATTGGTGCAATGGGTCCCCCTGTATCCCTATTTAAATGATTTGTTTTTTCCCTTCCCCTCCCCAAATTATACCAACATCAAATACAGTGAAAGCAGGGGTTATACCATGGGGAAAGGACACACAAAGCAATAAAGAAATAATCTTATAAATCTGTTATAACAATAGCAAGAAAGAAAAACCATTTGAGTCCTTATCTTGGGGTTCATTTCGCCTAACATCAACTCATCTGACCGTTTCTGCTTGTCTCAGACATATACTATTAAAGTGGCATCAGAGCATACACCGTCCACCGCACAAAACTTAGAAGAGGAAGCCAGGCAGCCTGGCTTTGGAAGACTCCCAGCTCAGGAAAGGCCCATAGTGCTGACAGTTTCCCAGTGATTTGCAGTACAGCCTACAGAGCAGAAAGTCTATCCAGAATTCCCTCAACAGCAACCCTTTGCATGGGTACAGTCCTGGAAATGCAATTTATTACATTATATGCCTGTCCCTCTAGCATTCTGATAGTAGGCTCAACAACTTTATCCATACCAACAAAGCAGCCATCCAACAGCTAAAGCACCATGCCAATGATGCAATAAAAAAAATCAATGACCATAACGAATTTTATCACCAAATAAAAGTCAACAATCTAGTAGATATTGACTCTGATCCTTTAAAAGTACTTCCCATTCTTTTCATCATTCCACTGCCACTTAGAAATTTAACATTTTTTCTCATCTGTCTTTCTTTTCCAACCATATCTTGCACACATTCTTGCTCTTAGGCATTTTAGACTCAATTTTTGTCCCAGAAATGAGAGACTGTAGTTCTTTTTCATAGCAAGAAATGTGATAAATAAGCAAGTGGCATTTATCAAAAGCATGTAGACAGACTTTAAGGATACATTAGAACAGTATGATAAACTTCTATATTTTGATGAATCAATTTATCCATTTCATAGGCATTTGTTGGACATCTAGCCTCTGTAAAGCACTAGTGGAAATAATGGCCAACAAGAGAGATTCTTGTCCTCAGACAATTGACAGTCTTACCAAATTAAGCATATAAACACACACAAATGAGAAGATAAGAAAACTTGTGGGTAAAATGTGAGATAGATAGATAGATAGATAGATAGATAGATAGATAGATAGATAGATAGATAGATAGAGATAGAGATAGAGATATAGGTAATGGAATTCTATGCTTCCATCAGAAAGAATGATACCACCCCATTTGTAAGAAAATGGAAGGACTTAGAAAAAATCATATTAAGTGAAATAAGCCAGACCCAAAGAAACATAGGTTCTATGGTTTCCCTTATTTGTAATAATTATTATTCATCTAGGATAATCTTAGCAGATGAATAGAATAACTCAGTAGCTATGTACATATGACCTTATAAGATGATGCTAAACAAAATGAACTCCAAGACATGGACACAAGAGGTTTTTCCTTTGTTGTTGTTCTTAAGGATTTCTTTGTGTGTGTGTGTGTGTGTGTGTGTGTGTGTGTGTGTGTGTGTGTGTGTGTGTGTGTGTGTCTGTGTGTGTGTCTGTGTCTGTGTGTTTCCCCCTATGGTTTATCCCCTGTTGTCACTGTATTCTATTTGGTACCCTGGGTACTGTATATACATTTATCTGAACTAGGGAAGGGAAAGGGAACAAAAATGTGAGACAAAGGAGAAAGTGAGAACCTATGCAACAGTGATACTCACAACATGTTGGAAATAATCTGTACAACTTGGGAGGAGGTTGGAGGTGGGAAAAAGGGAGAAAAATGATGGAGAAGGTAACAAGTTAGACAAGAAATGTAATCACTATTTTATGTAACCCCTCTGTACCTTGACCATAAAATAAACGTATATAGTTAATAAGACAGAGATTGCACATTATATGTGAGACAGTAGATAGTTCTGTGAATACAAAAATTAAGAGTACTCCCAAATATGTCACATAAATTCTAATTCCTGGGCCAGACATGCCAACAGAAGACCATGATGAAGTATACGAGACACCATAGTGACTAGAAGAATGGAGATAACCACTGTGCTTGACAGACCAGAAAGAATGTTTACATGAACAGACTTCAGGGTCTTCTTGAAAATTATATGCCAATTACAAGAAGATGAGAAGATGAGGAAGAGTATTACCAGCTGAGGCCACAGAATAAAAACCCTAAGATAACAGGATGCAATCATGGTTTGGAGTTTGCGAAGGCGCAGAAAGTATGTGAAGGAATGTCATGAGATAGAACCTGGACAGAGGACAAGAGCAAAAACAAGGAGGTCAAATGTATTCCAGTAAAAAATTCACAGTTTGTGCGATCATTGAGATAGGCCCCATCAAATGATTCTAAGAAATGGAAAGATGTAATCCAATTGAAATTATAATCATGGCAGCTAGTAGAAGATTAGGTGAGAATAGACCTGTAATTCAGGAGATCCATTTAAGAGCAGATAAAGGAAAACCCCACACAAAAAAAGTACAGAGACAAAGGGTACATAAAAATGTCCCCAAGATTATTATAACCAACCAGATATGGGAATAAAGAAGTTTAAGCAACAGAAGAGAGAATTCCCAACATGCAATTCCAGGCAAAAGAAACGGGTGATATTTGTACAAGTAAGGAAGTGCTTTGGGAAGTAAAGACATGAGTTTATGTAAGACTATACAGAGTGTGATTTCTCTGTAGGTATTTCAAGTGGGCAGCTTAATACCTGGGTCTGGATCTGTAGAGAAAAGTGTAAGATTTGCTCTAAATTAGATTTGGGAGCAACCAGCCATTACTAATGTAGTTCCAGAAAGTAGTAAGATATGTAGATTAGCATAATCTGGAGTCAGGAAGATACCGATTAGAATTCACATTCTATCATTTGCTGGTTCTTTGGTTTTCAATGACTTAAGTTCTCTGAGCTTCTATTTCTGCAACTTCTAAAATAGACACAAAAACAATCTCAGAGAATGACTGACCTATAAGAGAGAATATTTACCTTTTGCCTGTGTTAAGTCATTCGGGATGAATTTGTATCCAGAGGTAAGAGGATGGAGTAGTTCTAACAGCTATGACTGTGTTCTGGGAACAAATATGTTCAGAGTGCCTTCTGGCAAGTCCATTCTAGAGGGATTCACTCAGAAGAGGACCATATTCAAGAATTTGCATAATTCTGATTTAGTTTTCTTATGATCATTGCTCTGGATAACTTCTAGTCTTAAACATTTTTATTCATTCATAAGTTTGCCAGTATCCATCCATTCAGATTCATCTGCATTTGCCCAGCCAAAATGGTTCTTCATGATTTCTTTTGAAAGTCACATGGCTATTTACAAAAGTCACTCAGGTGGACACTAGATGAGTGGAGTATAGATCATTTCCAGTAGAATATTTTGTGCATTTCCAGGGTTCCCAGGAGAGGAGGAGAGTTGCTTTAAAGATATGTCACGATGTAGCAAAGAAACGACTTCAGTGCAACGCAGCATGTTCTGGTTTAAGAATAAATGTCCCAGAACAGTGTCTAAAGGACCTCTCCTTATCAGAACAGTTCATTTATAATATTTCTTAATCAAAAGCATAAAGACACAACTTAGAAACAACTTGTTGACCAGCTGGCAATTAAGATTTCTACTTAATCAGCTCCCTCTAAGCCACTTTAAGACATTATCACCCTGATATATATTTTACCTTGGTTGATATTCTTTCAAGTCTTTTGCGTTCAAGCCACCCTCTCACAGTTGCCTGTGTGTGGACGATCATTTTAACTACTTTCTTGGTAATTAATTGTTTATTATTTCCTCCGAAGACTTGGAAGATGTCTAAGTGTGGTCCAATTCTTTTAACTTTACTGTCCAATCTATCACTACTCTTTGCAAGGGTTTTCAGTCTAAAAATCAACATTTAAAAAGAACAAGGACAAAATCAATACTTCTAAAATCATAAGTGATTTCAATGATTGATATATTGACATAGGAAAGGTAGTATGATTTATACATATAATTCAAGTCATGATGTCAATCTGATTTACTTTCTTCCAGATTTCTTAAAGGGGTGGCTTGTCCAAGTAAATTTCTGACTCCTGACACTATTTTAAACTAATGAGAAAAAGAGACAGACACACACAGAAAGAATCAAATTCCTTATTCTGGGTAAAAATTGTAGTTAATATGAGTGATTAGGACTGTGTTAAGTAAAGGAATTAATGTAGATATAGAAACATTTACCAACTGGTGTATACCTTTTGTCTATTTTTATTAACAAAAAAAAGAAAAGAAGCCATAAACATATAGAATTTGATCAGTAGTACATTTTTAAATAATTGAAAACTGAGTTTCTGGAATAATCTATAGATGGCTTAGTAGAAAGTAAGCTGTATTTATGGGGAATGAGTTTAAAGCTATGAAATGTTGACAAAGGTGAATTCTGATGATCATAAAATAAGCAAATGTCTGTGAATCAGTGAGTGTAAAATATAGAATGGATATCCAAACAAAAGTGAAAAATAAAATTACTTTGCTACACTGGTTTTTGTGTACATTGTCTACTCTTGATTTGACATAAGGAAAACCATCCAGTCATTATTATATTTTGCCTATCTAAGGAAACCATGTTTCCCACCTAGCTAGAAATACACACCTGACTTACTTGGAGATGGTGTTGCATTTTATGCTCTGGCCGGAGTATCTGGGATTATAGGCATGGTCCAACTGTACCTGGATGTGATTTACTTAATTTACAAAATTTGATAATATTTAATATTACTTGAGATCTTGGTTACTTGTTGTTTTACTTTGGAGATACCTGTACATCTGTGGGGTACTATGCCCTATCCCCATAAATCATTAAAAAGTTGAAAAACCAGGGCTTGACTGGTTGAATTTGACTTTTTTCAAGTTTGAGAAATCTGTGATCAAAGTATCAAATTAAATGGCTTTCAGAGGAAGAAGTCATTAAGCCCAATTACATGTGAGAAAAGATACACTAAGTTAATTAGTAAGTTAATCATGTCTACACATTAAACTCTGAGCTTGGCAAACATTTGAAAAGGGAATTTCCTTTCAACTACTAATGCTTATAGGATAATATATATTAAACATTAAATCAGTTTTACAGTTTAGTTCAGATATTGCTACTAATTAGTTTTGGCTGATGCTGAAGATATTTTGTATGCTCCATTTATAAAAGCACGCTTTGCCCATCTGTTCATAGGTTGAACATGTTTAAAGGACACTTATTTTGGCTGTTGTAAAAAGCAAACACTTTGAAAGCTGGAGATTTGTGACAAAAACCAGCCCAGGTTGCCAAGATCAGAGATATATTAAAAATGATTTGTGCTGTTTTCCTTCTCCAAATTCCTCTTCCAACCTGCATTATGGGAAAGTAATGATCAGCCCATTCCTGATTAGATTAGTGTGCCCGCCTTGTCCAAATGCTGTGCAATTTAGTGATAATTTTCACAATTTACTCTGATTTGGATCTTCCTCTGTGAAGCTATGTGGAGGGCTTTCGTCTCTTATACAGGCAGCCTTAAAGCAGAAATGTGACAGGCCTTCATGCCTTCAATGCTCGATTTGAAGCCACTGGGCTAATGAGTGAAACTAGTTTGTGGCCTTCTTCAGTCCTCTAAACTCAAGTCTGTTCAGTTTGAAGCATTGGCTACATTCACTATGGGTGATAAAGAATTTTAAGAAAAGGAGTGTAATCCATTTTTTAAGAAATTCCACTCATGTCTTCATCTTGTTTTACTATTTCTTTTGCAAATCTTCCCAAAGGTTTAGTACTTTATTGCTAGCAACAACCAGAAGAAAAAGGAGGAGGAGGATGGGGGGGGGAGAGGAGGAGGAGGAGGAGGAGGAGGAGGGAAGAAGAGGAGGAGGAGGGGAGAGGAGGAGGAGGGGGGGGAGAAGAGGAGGAGGAGGGAAGAAGAGGAGGAGGAGGGGAGAGGAGGAGGAGGAGGGGGAGGAGGAGGGGGAAGAGGAGGAGGAGGAGGGGGGAGAGAGGAGGAGGGGGGGGAGAGGAGGAGGAGGGAAGAAGAGGAGGAGGAGGGGAGAGGAGGAGGAGGAAGAGAGAAGAGGAGGAGGAGGGGAGAGGAGGAGGAGGGGGGGGAGGAGGAGGAGGAGGAGGAGGAGGAGGAGGAGGAGGAGGAGGAGGAGGAGAAGAAGAAGAAGAAGAAGAAGAAGAAGAAGAAGAAGAAGAGGAAGAAGGAAGAGGAAGAAGAAGAGGGAAGAGGGAAGAGGAGGAGGAGGTGGTGGCTGGTCCTAAATCCCCAGCAATCTGTTTAATCTTCCTATTAAGGGGCAGAGGCTGAAATCCTATGTAAATCTCTAAGGGCATCTCAGGCATTAAAATGTTTAAGGGAATTAATATGAGAGAAGAAAGGCAGATATGGAGCCATTTCCGTGTGGGAGGAAAGGCGGGTTGTTCCTGTTTACTCTCCACGTGGCCAGTCCTTCCTCCTAACAGTAGAGCAAGTTCTAAATACCCAATTCAGTTAAATAATAAAGCCCACCATGACTTCTTCTCATTTGTTATAGATAATATTCTGAGAAAGCATGGCTTAGGAATTAAATAGAAACAATCTTTTCACCCCATACAGAAAGTCAACACTATTTCTGTTCATGCTAAGTTGATTCTGACTTTATGATCAGGCTCTTCCTGGTAATGGTCTGCAACATCTGACATTGTTCTCTTATGGTTCCTAGATGTCTACACACAGAACATTCCAGAAAATAGTCCTTAAAGGACAACTGAAATGCCAAAAGTCCAAATAGCCAGGCGATCACGTTACCAATTTTTCACAAGCTCATCTGCACAAGAACAAAACAAATTGAATTCTTCCTCCTCCTCCTGTTCCTCCTCCTGCTCCTGCTCCTCCTCCTCTTCCTCTTCTTCCTTCTCCCTTCCTCCTCCCTCTGATTCTTCTTTTCCCTCCTCTTGTTCCTCCTCCCTCTTCCTTTCTCCCTCCTCCTCTTTTCTTCCTTGCTCTGACTCTTCCTCCTCCCAGTGCTAATAATTTATTTCTCTTGGGTTAACGCTTTGCCCCCAATCCCAGCTTTAGTCACTTGCATCTATCTTTCTGATCTCTGCTCAAAAAGACTGGAATGAAGAAAAGATCGGTACTTATTACAGATCCCTTACCCTCTAAATAAAGACTTTAGTTACAGAGTTTCACATAACAAAATAAATTCCCTTACTAACAAAGCTAACTTGCATTCCATTTTGTCTGTACTTCCTATGTTGTTCACATAGGTGGTTAGGAACTGTCATTTCTAGTGGATCAAGGAGCACGCACGGAAGTAGGCAGCCAAAAACAGGCCAAGGCCTGTTAGAAAAGCAGTAAATGTGGACTGTGATAGGGCAGAGCCCTGAGAAGTTCAGTGCTTCTGCCTTCCTATTAGCCCTCTTTGTGAGCTCCTCCAAGAAAAAGTAATCACTAATCTGGTTTTCCCTGCTTGAAACATCATTTATGCTCATTTTACTGTTGAGCTTCTGAGCTTTAAAACGTTGCTATGTGCTTTCTCTCATTGTTCTGCTTGCCCCTCCTTGGAGGTTTTCCTTCTGATTTCATGCGGGATTAAATTCACTCGGGGACCTACTCTCTGCGCCAGGTGCAGCCAGCCTTTTACCTCACCCTGCTGTACCCGCAGCAGACTCGGTTGGAATTACCTCTAGGCCATGTGTACAGGAAGACTCAGGATTAGAAATCAAAATGTCTCTATTGCAAGGGAAGAAATAGAAAAATCCCAACTCAGTCTGTTGTTAAGGACAAGAGGCCCTACTTCCACCCTAGATAAAGCTATGGTGGGAAACGAGATGGTGTTGACATGGTACTCTCTGGTGAATCTCACTAGTATAAGGACTCTGGCTACGTGCAACACTCTGGGAATCCCAAGTGCTATTTGAGAATCATTCTTGGAGAATCAAATGATTTCTTTTGAACACATACCAGCACTCACCATCATCTTCATCTATCTATTTTATATGTTTTACTTAATAACCACCTAGAATCACTAAATGAAGGTATTTTCAGTGAATAAGAACACACAGGTATGAATGTTTCCTTTCTTGGGTTATTTCCTATAATCTCTTCTCTTGTTTTACCCTCTAATCTATATCACAAGATCATTAGGTTTCAGGTGTTTATCAACAGACTTGATACATAAAGTAAAAGCAACCTAAGCAGTCCTAATAAGGCCATTGGAAGGAGAACTGTGCATGGTGCGCAGATAATAAATAACAACAAAAAAGCTGAAACGTGCACAGAAATGTTTACACCCATAAGGCTTAGATCACACACACACACACACACACACACACACACACACACACAAAACACTTCAACCTGTGTAGTGACGGATCATATTAACTGAAAACAAAATTCTCCTTGCCTCAGTGGCATGGAGAAAAAAAAAAGCAACCATCAGTGGCAACAATAAAAAGATACCTAAAAATGCATCTCTTTAGAATTAGTAATGTCAGCAATTACATCAACAATATTAAAAACAAGGACATTAACTGATACTTTGCTGCTTTCATGTAAACAATATACCTATCTGGCTTTGGTTCTGGCTTGATGGGTTGAAGCTTTTTTCTCCTTAAGGCTCTCTAGAATAAAAGGAAAAACAGTTGATATAAGAAGAGAAACAATTTTGTCATCTGAAAAAAATTAATTCCACTGACACTATTATAAAAAGACAAAAGAATCAGTCTGTTATGATATGCATCCCATACACATTCACCTAAAATGGTTAGTATACTCAGAGAAGTGAAATTGTTGGACCTTCTCCAGCATTTTTGGTAACCAAGAATAATTCCTACCAATCATTTCAGTGAGCAGATACCCTTTTTGAGGAGAATTTAACAAACTGATTGATTGATCTGTTTGCTTCCTTACAAAAAATGATTTAACAGTTTACCAAAAAAATAACAGTATCTGTGAAAATAAGAAAATTGAGTTGAGGGAAACTTACTGGTAGAAAAATGATGTGAGACATTTTCTAGTACTGATTGCTGTGTTAAGCAGATTTGGTAAATTCCTAGCTACCCAATCATTACAGTTAATACATGACTATAACCTCAGATCCCATATCAAAGTCCAAATCACTAATGCCTCTGTGTTTGTCGAAACATCCCTTCACAGAGTGTGAGATCCTCCAGGAGAGATGTAAGAGGATCATTTATGTGTCTTTGTCAGCAATTTCCTTGTATGAACAGAAAGAGACACTGGAGTTAAAGCTATGAGGGCAAGGCGTTCATCTTCAAGTCAATGAGAGAGGCTTCAGGAAAAATACATTGCTTGGTACCTTGATCTCAAACTTGTAGAAAATTAATTCCTGTTGGCACCTACATTTTTATATTTTTGTAATGGGATTCCTAAAAACACCTACTGTTTTAATCATCACAACGCCAATAAAGAGAAATCAGGAGCTTTCGGTGAAATGTATTTCCTATAGGTCATTCAAAACAACCTGGTAGAAAGTACCAGCATCATTCTCAATAATTACACAAGTACTTACTATGGATTTTTCTCATATAATCATTCAGTACTGATCAATATTAGAATACTTGTAGGAAGAAAACCCTACAAAATCTCAGAGTTAACTAGACCGTTGCCTCTCTAGCTATTTGGTGTTTTTTTTAAAAATGCAATTAAGAATTGCACCAGTAGATTATATACCCACTTCATAATCTTCCATATGAATTATTTGCACAAACTACCTTTGAAAAAAGAAGGAAGTGGTGTATGGAGTGATCTTCACAGATGAGGTAAAAATCAGGAGATTTGTGGGTTGTGTTCCCTCATTTCTCACAGACTTAGTAAGAAATCAGTGACAGGCCATTTCTGAGCTTTTGATAATATCGTGTGCACATGGTACCACAGGGACATTTTTATCTGCATGGTGCATTTTAAGTTTTAAATGTGTATTTGACAAGTGAAGTCAAAATCATCTCTTACATAAACTCTCAGGAAACACAAAGGTCAATGTAAAGATTAGATATAAATAGTTGTGTGTGAATTGAAAAGGATTCTGTATTTAAACCTAGACTGATGGTTGAAAATCAGTCTTTCCATCCATTAAGCTTCCTTCTATCCGATATTCTTTCTCAGATGCAGTTTTAGTTGTTTGCCTTCATCTGCCTTCATTACATTAATTTCTTAAGATGTCAGATTGTTTTTCTTCATTTCCAGTTAGAACACAAGCAAACTGCATCATCTCTCATAGATGTTCCTTTTGAAAGTATTACTTATGGTTCACACATACTTTTTCAAAGTAAGCAATCATCCTCAAGAATATGAGTATAGCTTTTAAAACTTCTATACAACACATAGGTAACAGTAAACTATAACAAAGGACCTTTAATTTTATTTTCTCCTTTGTGCTTGTACTGAAAACTGTCTGTAGCTTTTTCATTCAGAGTTGGTGTTCTACTCCCTGAGCCACACTTCCACTTCTGTTTTTGCTGGTACATTGGAGCCAAGAGACTCATGGCCTTTCCTGCCCAGGCTGGCTTTGACCCAAGATCCTCAGGTCGCAGCCTCCTGAGTAGCTAGGATTACAGGCGTGAGCCACCAGTGCCCTTGGCTAAGACCTTTAACTGCTACTCTCAAAACATTTCATGATATTGTCTTGTAGCTACAAAACTAGGAGTGGTTTACAAAAAATTAATTTCTAATCTTATCTTCATATTCCATACTCTGACTCAATGTGTTTGGCTTGGAGCAACCTGTTCTTGTGTGCTACTGCTCTTTATACTTGCCAACTCCACGTCTGTCAGCGGCTTCCTTCTTGGATTGGATGTTCTCCATGATGAAGAGTGTCAAATGGGAAGGCTGCAGAGAACTTGCCCCCTCCCCAAATATGCACCAAGGGTTTCCCCTCTGCCGTCTAAATACTGTATTGCCTAACAGCCTTCTGTTCTTCTTGTTTCTTCCTATCTAACATAACTGGAATGGGCTACAAGAGTTCCCGTTTTCTTTTGTTTATTGGTTGGTCTTTCTTCATTTTCCAAAGGTGCATTTGTTTCCAAGTCTTAGTTTTCTACATACTCATATAATCCTGTCTCGAGTCTACTCTGCCTTTCTAGTTCAACTTCCTTCTCTCTTACAAGCTTTTTCTTCTATTTGCACAGCAGTTAAGAGCTTTTCAGTTGGTTTTTGGTTCTTGGTTTTTTTGTGTGAAAATACCCTGCAGAGGGGTTATAATTACATGGGCAAGATAACGAGTTCATTTTTTACCAAGCATTGCTGCCTCCTCCTTGTTTCCCCTTCCCATTCCTTCCCATACTCCCCACATCTCCCCCCATCCAATCCTCCCCCCACCACCAAAGTTGTAAAATTTGTTTTTTGACATAACGTCTTATACATCTAATTGGTGCAATGGGTCCACCTATATCCCTATTAAACAATTTGTTTTTCCCTTCCCCTCCCCAAACTATACCAACATCAAGTACAGTGAAAACAGGGGTTATATCGTGGGGGAGGGACATGCAAAGCAACAAAGAAATATCTTATAAAGATGTTAGAAACAATAGCAAGAAAGAAAAACCATTTGAGTCCTTATCTTGGGGTTCATTTCACCTAACATCTGATTTCCCCTGTCCCACCCACCGAAGGGCAATGCAAGTCTGATTGAGGACCTAAGTCATTAATAAAACCCTTCTGTATATTTTTCAAAATTTTGTAGCAACGTGAATAAATTTATCCCAACTCACTTTTCAAACTCTTTTCCCCACATATTTTCTCCAACTCCAGAATTAATTAGTGCCAAGACTTCCTTCTGATAATTTATACAATATTATTACACCTCAGCTTCTTTTTTAGAAAAACAGTGTCTAATCTATCAATTATTACTCTTTTTCCAAACCTTGATGAGATTTTTAAAAAATCTTTTTGACAATTCCCTCATAGTATAATAATTAAACTCTAGACTGATTAAACATAGATCTTTATCTAGCTTTCATTTTACAACGTGATGCTAGACATAGACCTATTTTACTCCTTTTGCTGGGAAATTCTGGAATATGTTTGCTAGAGAAAGGTGAAAATTTGTCATTGGTATTCTATTCCCCAACACTTATCCCCCAAATGTGGCTAAAGAGTGTTTTTCCAAGTAAAAAAGAACTTTCAGCCAGGCACTGGTAGCTCATGCCTGTAATCCTAGCTACTCAGAAAGGCTGAATGAGATCTGAGGATAACAGTTCAAAGCCAGTCAAAGCAGGAAAAGTCCTTGAGACTCATATCTCCAATTAACCATCAGAAAACTGAAAGTGGAGCTTTGGCTCAAAGTGGTAGAGAGCTAGCCTTGAGGGAATAAATCTCAGACACAGCACTCGGGCCCTGAGTTCAAGCTACAGGACTGGCCAAAAAAAAGAGAAAGAAAGAAAGAAGAGAAAAGAAAAGAATTTTCATAGTTTTCAACAGCTTTATGACCCTACAAGAAGCATATATAACACATGATATATAAACACATCCTCGAGGTAAAAACAACGGTTGGTTTTAAAAATAGGTCACTGTGAAAAGAGAAATCGTCGCTAGCACATACATAATAAAACTATAAATTGCACATTAAAACATGTGAAATCAACTGCAAAGCTTTTTCTGCCAGGCTGGACTCTGAACGGCGGTCTCTTCGCCTTCTGTGAAGAGTGAGAAGTGCAGATCTCACCCCACCACTCCCAGTGTGAGAAATGGCCCACACAGAAAAAAATATATAATAATCCTGTCAATCACTGGCACGCAGGCAGAACCAGAAGGCACCAGACACATTTCCTCCTGGGTCTTTTCACAAGTCAGTCTCTCTGCATTCTTGAATTTGAGAGCTTCCAAGAAGGGTTTTAAAGCCATGCAACCACCCCTAGGAAGCATTGGTATTCCTGAGAAATGAATCCATTTTGTAAATCTGCACATGCAGCCAAACCAGCTCCCACATGTGAATTTTTTCAACCTCCACACATACAAAAAAAAATCAAAACTACCAGAATTGTTTTTTCTCTTAGTCCTAGGATTTAAGCATAGCTTAGGAGACAACACAAAGGCTGAATAGAAAGAAGGGTAAAATTGCATCCTGGTATAAATCGCCCTGAAGGACTTATGTATTTGTCAGGGGACCGCTGTTTCTAGGAAATGTCCATAGTAACAAATCATAGATGGCACAAAAATAAATTCTAAGAAGACTTACCAAAAAAAAAAGAACAATTTTAATGCATGGTTGAACTGGGAAAGCAACAGAATTCCACTGTAGCTCAAAACAAGGAAATGTTGAATTTGTTGTTTTATGGATTTTGCCATCACTTGATTAAATAAGAATTCTCCAAAACCTCTCCAAAGCCTAGAGTCTGGGATTTCTGTTTTGTTCTGTTCTTAATCTCTTTGCATTATTATTTTTAATTTAAAATTATTTCTAACTGATACATAAAAATATAAAACTGCCTATTTCTGGAGTACCAAGTGATGTGAATTCAGTGCATATATTTGTGTAATGTTTACACTAGGACATCTGTCTCTTCAAACATTTACCATTTCTTTACTCATATTCAGTGTTCATAAGTAAATGTGATCCTAACCCACCAGACATCTAAATTTATTAGAGAATATCTATATTGCA